CTCCCCCTATCTATACAGCTACCCACTCCCCTATCTATACAGCTACCCACTCCCCTATCTATACAGCTTCCCACTCCCCCTATCTATACAGCGACCCACTCCCCCTATCTATACAGCGACCCACTCCCCCTATCTATACAGCGACCCACCCTCCCTATCTATACAGTGACCCACTCCCCCTATCTATACAGCGTCCCACCCTCCCCATCTATATAGCGACCCACTCTCCCATCTATACAGCGATCCACTCTCCCCATCTATACAGCGACCCACTCTCCCCATCTATACAGCGACCCACTCTCCCCATCTATACAGCTACCCGCTCTCCCCATCTATACACCGACTCACTCCCTCCAGCGTCCCACTCCCCCAATCTATACAGCGACCCACTCCTCAGTTCGCTTTGCTCTTCATCACTTTTTTCTTTCAGCGGTTCTCAACCTGTGGGTCCCGACACTTACATAAGGGTCGCCTAAGACCATCGGAAACGTTTTTATGAAGTAGAAACGAAAATAATTGTATGGTCGGGCGTCACCACAACAAGAGAAACTGTATTAAAGGGTCGTGGTGCCAGTAAGGTTGAGAACCACTGCTTTATTTCTTTATTTCGAGAGATCCTGATAATGCAAAGATTACCTTTACGTTGTTAGGGTAATCTTTGAATGTCTCCTGCCATGCCGTCACAAGTTCTTGATTGATGTCACGGAGATGGTAGATGACATCCTGATCAGATACACTTTGTACTGCCATTCTCTGGACAAATAATCGATCGTGTGAAAAAATCCCTTTTATAAATAAATAGAGAGAGATAGAGAGAGATTCGGAGAGAGAGAAAGAGAGAGGGGGGAGAGAGGGACTCAGAGAGCGAGAGAGGGTAGGTGGAGAAAGGTTGGGAAACACTGATTTAAAAAAAAATTGACTTAAATTTAGCAAGAAACCTTCAAAAATATTTCTAAAGTCCGCCAAGTCTTAACTACACTCAATGCTGATGGATAGAGTCAAATTAACAACTACATCAATAATAAACTTGCACGACATCAATGTTGCTCTTGCATATATATCTCTGGAAGTGGCGGTCACACTCTCCGGAGTTATCCCAAGTTCTGAAACTCATTGGTAGATCTAACTCTATTTTTGCATAGATATCTGAGCTTTAAATGCCAATTCAGTGCCAAATTATGGGGGGTGGAGGTAATTCCTCTAAGTATCTACCAACAAAAAATGTGTGTCTGCACAGTTCGTTAGTTTATTTAAGCATATTAATTAATAAGCAATAGATCATGTCGCTTTCAGAACTTCTTTCATCTCCTCATACGTGTTCTGGTTGCCGAGTAACTAAGTACGAAGTCAAAATGTACTCTATTAGCGTGAAAATGTTTCCTATCCCTCAGTTAAACTAACAAGATTAGCTTATTAATATTAAGATAAAGATGAAAATACCTTTGTGCGTTGTTTATAGGCCTATTGCGTGAACTTGGGCAACTTAGTTACGTATCATTCATAGTTCGTTGAAACGGAAAGCTGGTTACTTGATATATCACTTCGGAAATTCTTTTTATTTCTTCTGAGAAAGCAGTGTTTCACTTCTTAATTCCAGGATCATACTGGCAGTCTAATTGATCATGATGCCATTTCACATTGCTATCTCTAAAAAATAAACACTTGAAACGTAATTATAAAACTAGTCTAATATGACATGCATGCGCAAACAATCTTCTTGTTTCGTTTTTAATTGTTTATCCAAGTGTATTTAATCTATTTATAGCTTCGGTGATTTCCCATCAGCTTCTTTAGCTACATGCGATCTTCACATTTGCCGGAAACTGGAAAGACAAGGGGCAGATGTTAGAGAGTATGCTTCTCTAACTAATCTAAATCTCCATTATAGCAATGTCCCTAGACATATTTAAAGGAATTTATACGTTTAGAAATTTAGATTAGATGTGGCACAGAGGCAAAAAGAAGGTAAGACAGAATGGTGTGAAGAGGTGGGATGAGAATTTTTTTAAAGGCTGAAATGGACATCGAAGTCGTAGCCGAGTTTTCCATTTGGGGTTGTCAAATATAAGGACAACCATAGAGAGGGACGGACGAGGTCGTTCAGAAACGGACTAGGGGCTTGTAAATGGTTTTGCGGACTAGGTTTATATATTTTATATATAAATATATCATATAATGGTATGTTTGTATATATATGTGTGCGTTTATATGTATGTTTTGTTTTTCCCGATAAATGTGATTATGGTGTAATTCTTTGACTTTGATCACAACTTTGTTGTTTCATTTTTTTCATAAATTTCAAACACATATAAAATACTTAAGATAGTTCTTTAGTTGTTACCGGTACTTTAAATGTATTTGTAATTGATAATAAACTTTTACTATAATAAAAGCGGATAAATAATATTTTTTGCGCATTTAAATTTATTCAATTTCCCTAAAATAATAGAATATAACTAATGATCGTTTTTTAGAATCCGAACGTATTTAATTAAATCTGTTCGGTTTCTTTGGCGTTATGGTCAGTCTAGCTCATTCTTTATTTATATATATTATATATATATATATATATATATATATATATATAAAGAATATACATATAGATCTATGTGTATATCTATATAGATGAAAGGACGAAGGAGGACGAAATCCACATGGCCTGTGCTTATTCTTCAAGGATTATAAGCTGAATCCCAACAGCAAATCGCCTCTCTCCACGCCGCTGGATAACCCAAGGGAACATCATTGGATGATACAGCTTGGCACCAGTGACGTCGCAGGAGTTGTCGGAAGGTTTCATTTTACCAATGTTATCCGCCTTTCGGTACTCCATTTCCGGGTTTGATTTCAGAGTTTCCTTCTCTTAGATGAGTTGCCATCCAAGGTTAACGTGTCCCATCCACCCGGGGTGCTGGTGGTGTTTTTGGCTGGAATTGGACTCGAGACAACCAACTTGAGATTTGCTCAGTTTAGACCACTCGGCCACCCAGCATCCACATTTAGATATAATATCCGCTGCTGTAGGCCCAGTGCGCGTATTCCTCTATTGCTGATAAGTTGGGAAGAAATTACAAGTTAAAAAAGTTCATATTTCGAAATATTTTCTTCTTGCTATTTACCAACACATGTAAATTGTAAACAATGCAAGTTTTTTTCTCTGGATGACATTTATTTAATGATTTATAATAGATGCCATCCACATATTACGAACGCAGAAAAGTAAAAAAGTAGATCGCCCTCGATGCATACGTTTAATTTAGGGGCAACACCCCACCACAGTACAATGAGCTGTCAGCGACCCCCCTCCCCCCCCCCCCCCCTTCCCCCAAAAACCCCTCCCTTAAACCCCTTGTTTATTTGGGGTCAGTGGGGGGTTTTTTTTTTTTTTTTTTTTTTTTTTGTGACAGTGGGCGGCTAAAATATGTGAGCTATGTCAGAGCTACAGGGTATTGGATGTAATATAGTTTTGTTTCAAAATGCGGGGTTGGGAGGTGTAATGTTAAAAAAATGATATTTTCAAAGTAAATTCTTAATGTTTTTCCTATATTGCTATTGCTATACCAGTATATTTCATGTATTTCTTGTTGGTTGTATCCCACAACTGAGAATCTTAAGACCTAAACAGCAGCAAAATTCAAATACTTTAAAGTAAGCAAGAAGAACGTTTCTTTTTTTCCTATCCAATTATTTTATTTATTTATTTTTTTTTTTTTGGGGGGGGGGGGGGAGAAAAAAAA